CCCCCCCCCCCCCCCCCCTCCACGTCCGATCCCTTTTGGATCTCACGCCGGAGAGTTTTGGGGTGTCTTAGCTCTAAGTCCTCCACCGCCCACTGGGGGACTTCAGTATTTTCTTTAATGCCGTACCAATAGGCTTTTCAGGGGAGGTTCGGGTACGGGTTGGGGATCGGATCTATGTGTACTGCATTCTCGAATGGTCCCCTCACATTAGTGTCGATTTTCAGTACACAGCTACCCTCACTCAACGCGTCTATGTGTCCGGCAATCTCCAATACAAATCAACCTGTGAGGTTTCAGTATGCAGCTTTCCTCGCTCAATGCGTCCATGTGTCCGGCAATCTCCAATACAAATCAACCTGTGAGGTTTCAGTATGCAGCTTTCCTCGCTCAATGCGTCCATGTGTCCGGCAATCGCAAACATCACTCATCCCGTGAGGTTTCAGTATGCAGCTATCCTCACTCAACCCGTCTATGTATCCGGCAATCTCAAATGGGGGGGGTGTTGCCAACTCGAGATTGCGCATCATGGGCTTCTTCGCTGAAAGCGGGGGCTTGTGTTGCATGGAGAAACATCACTCAACAATATGCGTATCAGTCGTAGATAAACCGTCTCTGTTCTACCTCTACCTTGTCAGTAACAGGCCCCGCACAACCGCAGGCGTACCTCGATAGCTGTCACATCAGACTCTGTCGTCCACGAGTCGCACTACGTAAGCCGGCTGGCCACAAGACTCCGACGACGGGCAGGGTGAATTTGGACCCAAACGATAGCTGCTGTAGGGATGCCGGCCACACGACTTCGGCTATCGGCTGGTTGAATCTGGACCCAAACGATAGCTGTTGCAGGGAGGCCGGCCACACGACGTTGGCAATAGGCTGGTTGAACTCAGAACCAAACCGTAGCTGCTGCAGGGATACCGGCCACACGACTCCGACGATGGGCTGGTTGAATCCGAACCAGAACGACAGCTGCTCCAGGGAGACTGGCCGCCCGATTTCGGCGATGGGCTGGTTGAACTCAGAACCACACCGTAGCTGCTGCAGAGAGGCTGGCCACACGACTTCGGCGATAGGCTGGTTAAAATCATATCCAAGCGATAGCTGCTGCAGGGAGGCAGGCCACACGACTTCGGCGACGGACTGGTTCAACTCATCACCAAACTCTCGCTGCCGCAGGGAGGCCGGCCACACGACTTCGCCGATAGTTTGGTTGAATTTATGCCCAAAGGATAGCTGCTGCAGGGGGCCCGGCCATAAGACTTTCGCGATGGGATGGTTGAATGAATAACCAAGCCTGCAGGGAGGCCGGCCACACGACTCCGACGATGGGCTGGTTAAACTTGAATCACAACGACAGCTGCTTCAAGGAGGCTGGCCACACGCCTCCGACTACGGGCTGGTTGAACATATACCCAAACGATAGCTGCTGTAGGGATGTCGGCCACACGAGTTCGGCGACGGGCTGGTTGAACTCATCACCACAATACAGCTGCTGCAGGGAGACCGGCCACACGACTTCGGCGATAGGTTGGTTGAATTCATGCCCAAAGGATAGCTGCTGCAGGGAGGCTGGACACGAGACTCCGACGACGGGCTGGTTGAATTTGGACCCAAACAATAGCTGCTGCAGGGAGGCTGGGCACGAGACTCCAACGACGGGCTGGTTGTTTGGACCCAAACGATAGCTGTTGCAGGCATGCCGGCCACGAGACTCCGACGACGGGCTGGTTGAATTTGGACCCAAACGATAGCTGCTGCAGGGAGGCTGGGCACGAGACTCCGACGACGGGCTGGTTGTTTGGACCCAAACGATAGCTGTTGCAGGCATGCCGGCCACGAGACTCCGACGACGGGCTGGTTGAATTTGGACCCAAACGATAGCTGCTGCAGGGAGGCTGGGCACGAGACTCCGACGACGGGCTGGTTGAATTTGGACCCAAACGATAGCTGCTGCAGGGATGCCGACCACACGACTCCGGCTATCGGCTTGTTGAAGCAATCTCCAAACGATAGCTGCTGCAGGTAGGCCGGCAGTAAAACTCGACCGATGACCTGGTTGAAGGCACCTACAAACGACAGCTGCCGCAAGGAGGCAGGCCATGACACCGTATTCACCGGCACATCTGTGTCAAATAGCACCCGCTTGATCCTTAGAGGCCAAATCGCCAATCCCAGGCTTGCTGCCGATGATGTTCTCAATACTTGCCGATATCCCGACCCAGACCGCAGCTGCACGGCAAATTTCTGCATCAGAACGTCCATCGGAAGTGCCCACGTCAAACCAAAAGCCTTTACAGCCGGCACGCGACTAGAGATGCTGGCCCCTTGACCGCGCTTGCTTGGTGTGGTGTGTATTTGGCGAAGAGACCACAAGCTATGCTGTAGAAGCGAGTAGGGCGGCCAAGGCCGCGCTTGCGGCGAACGACGTACCCAACTGATGATGTTGTCGCACCCTGTGTTCCCTTTTCCCTGCCGTAAGCTGTATGCTCTTAGTATTGCCTCCGGCCTCTCTTTGTGCTTTTCTTCTTTCTTTCTTTCTTGTTCTCCATGCCCTCTCTACGATGATCTTGGACGATACCTCGAGCTCCTTGTTATTTTTGTTTTTTCCTTTGCTGGCTGCCTGCCACCTCTGCTGCCTCTTTGGTGCGGTGCCTACCCTACACTAATGCGCTGGTGCATACTGCACTGCTGTAGTACCTGGTACTGGTGTACGTTGTCCTTCGATTTTTTTTTTTTTTTGTGGGAATATATATGTGTTTGTTTTTCGCCCCCCGTCTTGCTGCACCCCCTGGGGTGTGGTGCAGGGCGGGGGATGCCTGGTCGGCGGGAACCCGGCACGGAACCCTCCGGCGTTGTAGGCGGGTGTGGGAAGCGTTCCCCGTTCTCCTTTTATTTTATTTTGATCGGTCTCCTCGACGCTCTTTCTCGTTTGGTGCGGTAGCTGGTCTTTCTTTCTATCATTTTGTTTCTCTTCCGAGTGGTTTTTGTACCCTATTTTTTTTCTGTTTCTTCGTGGGGTCGTGTATGCCGGGTTTTGAGACCACGGGCTCCCAATCTTTCTTTTTTAGAGCTAATGTGAGAACAACAACAACAACAACAACAACAACAACGTTCCAACAAACAGGACTGCTGCACATCGCAACACACCCTCAACCTAGGCTGAGAATCCGGCGAAAACCACCAGCGTGCACATATCCTGTCTTGAATTGAGGAAGGTGGGGCCTGTGCGATAGGCCACAGGTGGTGAATTGTTGGGTGCCTATTGGGCATGCTCAGGTTAGTTAGGCGAAGACCGATCGCCACATGACCTTCGCGTCTGATTCGACCGGCGATGAAACCTATATCAGCGACAGATCTAAACTTGACCGTCACTTCAAGCTGTAGGGTGCAGAGGTTGGTGGCGGGGTGGTTGGGAACCTCATACGAACGAACGTAGACACAGCGAGACTGCCGTAGGGGTGAACAATTAATGGGTAAACGACAGACCATCACGGGATGTATTCGTTTCTCTTGACATATTCATTGCCCACAGGTGTTCGATTTAGGAAATGGACCCCGCAGCTCTACGTTGACTGGACAAACCCACTGTGTGCCGTGTTCTGTTGTCGAACCCTCCACGCTTATCAACCAAGATCAAACGCCTTCAGAATTCATTCGTGTTGATGCCAACCGCCCGACTTGTCAACTCCACGATTGTTTGACCACTTGGAACCAGGGTGCAGTCGACAACTGCAGTATATTCAACACGAGATAACACCCGCAAGGCGCTTAGAAATTAAATATACTCACTGGGGATGGTACAATGTGGGCATGTATGTGGCAATTTCCATGACCCGTTGACCTGATGTAAGCAAAGTTTATGATTTTGCCTCATGCTGAGTCGCATGCTTGTCACCAGGTGTGCTATTCTGTGGCGGGGACGGTGATATCGTTTGTTGGGATGTTACTTGCGAAAAATACTGTAGTAATGGGATAACGACACTACAAGGCCGAGAACCTACCGAGAGACAGGAGAGAGCATGAAGAACGGTCCAAGCCATGCAAGGATACAGCTGTGGCCGTGGAGAGAAGGACGGAGTGGGCAGGCAACTCTGGTAGTTTAGCAACGTATCGCATCACCTTGCCCGACATTTGCAGCTAGGTGCTTCCACGTTCGGTGAGGGTGACAATAGACAACATTCGGAAGCCATCTGGAATTTGCAAAACTACAAGTAATGTGTAGACTTGCAGAATTTAGCCACAGTTGTCGAAATGATTCTCAGAGCGGGGGAACACGTTGCCCTCAATCTACGAAGGGGCCACCAAGACCCAAGTACAAAGCGGTTTGGCGCCGCTTGTATCCGAATGTCCTCGCGCTTTCAGGAGATGAATCAGATTTAGAAGCAAGCAGACCGGTAACAGTAGTAGCCTCACGTCGTTAAACCTCAGGCACCAAGCAGGGGTGGAGTTGTGTCGACTATATCGTCGGCCGAAGAAGGCCAGATCTACATCTGGCGATTGCTTTCCGTGTCCGAAGTGAGGTGTGGAACTGTCTGCATTCCAAGCATATTTCATCTGTTGTTGGATTGCTAGGCGAGAGAAGACAACGAGGGAGAGAAGAGGAAGATCGATCGTGTCTGGACACGACCGAACACACACAACGCCGTGCATTCATACGCTCTTTGATTTTGCAATGTTCTTTCGGGGTGTGCCAATTTCACGTGGGGGTTGGTCGCCCGTCCTCTCTTGATTGCTGCTGCTCTCTCTCCTGTCTCTCTCGCGGAAAAAGGAAAGCTCGGGCTATAGTTCGCATACAGCAAGAGATGACGGAAGTGAGGGTCGTGATCACCCGCACAAGACTGAGATGATTTAGCCCCGCTACGGTGGTCAGCACAAAACACAGATAATCGCTTGTGGCGTCGACAAGATAACAACCCCCTCATCACAAACCTGCTCTGAAGTGGTGCAGAGGCCCGCGTCTGGCGTCGTGCGTTGTTTCGACGCAGTAAGCTGGATGTGTTATTGCTGTCGCCCCTTGCATGTTCTTTGCTGGTCAACTTCGAAAGCGGGCCTGGTCTCCACACAGATCATTACCCAGGAACACTCGTTACTACCATGCCAACCTTCGGGACATTGGCTTTCTCCTTGCTGTGGAAAACCGGGCTTTGAAGATCGGCCGGGGTTGCGGGTTATTGTGTGGAAGGCGGTTGTAGCAGTTCTTGAGCATCTCGCTTTCGGCCATTTTGCCTGCCAGGCAGTTATTGCTTTCGTTTTCGATTGTATGGGTGATCGATATGCCAACGCCGCGAAAGGGCCGGTGCAAGAGATACCCAGCAGGAGAAGCAGGTACAGGCGCAGCAACACCACACCATCACAAAGCACACCACGTGCAACCTCGGTGCTGGTGCATCGTGTCCTCAGCAACATGTAGGGGTTGGCGGGTTTCCTACTGCTCCCATAGGCACACATCAACTCATCTGTATCCTTCGTGGAAAAGCCCACGAGGACCGGTGCCACATATATAATCCCTTAATATCGTGATTTTTTTCATTTCTGTAGTAACAATGGCGAACTGTGATCGGAAGTGTGATCGCATGCGTAGTTGTGAAACCCCTCTCGTACAGGGGAAATCGCACACAGCAGACGAATCTCCTTTCATTCCCAATACTGGGAAGCGCACAAACCGCAATCACAACTACATTAAGCACAGAGGCCGTGCGTCAATCGCTTGGTCGCATGGGCTCCGGCGTGCGTTGTCTCTGCTCAATCTCGCGCACGCGGGACCGGGTTGGTGACATGTTGAAGGATGTTCATGTACCGGCCGTGGTGTTTTCCGTTGGATCTTGCTGCTGTAGCAGTTTAGGATGGTTCTGGAAAAGACATCTGCCCCACATCAGAGAGATTAGGCACGGTAAAAAGAACTGGGTGGTACACCTGCATATTGCTAATACAGCACGGGCCCAGAGATGAAGGAACGACAGAATCGGGTCGAGGCTCAATTCCTTATTTTTGGGTCGAGGGACCAGCCGAAGTCATCCAGCTAATGGGCATCTTTGTTGTTGGCGCTACGGTATCGCATCCTGCTGATTTTGTTATTCTTTCTGTTAGTTTTATTTCTTGGAATACAACAACACAGTTTGTTTGCATCTCCGAGGACAACCAACTTTTTCAAACCCTCACGAGACGCGGGTGAGAGTGCCACACATCAACCCATATCAGCGGATGTGTGTTGGTCGCGTTGTGTGGCAGCACTATAGAAGTGGGTAGCCCAGCTTACCGTGGCCGGCGGTGGGCTCGTGGGGGCACCGGGAAAAACAATGATTCTCAACCCCCTAGGATGATCGTTGCACCTGCAGCTACGTTTCTCCTAGCCACCCCTTATTTCTATGTCTTGGGGGTATCTCTGATCCTGCTTGTTGTTGGAACGCTTCTTGATGTGACCGAATTTGATTTAATAATATGTTGTTTTGCCGTTTTTTGTTGAGTTTCATCATACATTTGAGCTGTTGCTTTTCAACGGAATATTTTAATCTAAATTTCGGGCACGTACTGCTGTATGCGTGATTTTGAGGTGGGCTGGCTCGTTGTCTCCCTGCTTGTCTCCATGTGCGTTTTTGAGGCACGCCGGCGATCGTTCGGCACGCAAAGTGATCGGAACTGGGAACGGAACGGAATCGGACCTGTAGTCCCAACCAAGGGTTAATGGCAATAATTTCCTTGTGATCAATGCGAGGGAGGCGGACGAAACCACAACCTAACAGCAGCGTCATGGCGTACGCGTAATACTACATCTATTTACTGCTCTTACAGTGTGTGAGTACCATGTACATACAACCAGTAGAAAGTAGCAGCAGCAGACACATCAAGGTAAAGGTTATCAGACTTCCACGGAAGCGATAGAAAGTCTGCCGAGCATTAGGTGCCAAAGATGAACCGCGACAGGTCCGCGCTTCCAACTTTCAAGGGTCAAGTCAAACGCGGCTTGCATGTGCATAATCTATGCATCTTGTGGACCGCGGCTCTCTGGTCACTTTACCCTGACGGAAACAAAGGATGATACGTACCTTGTGAAAGTAGTAGAGAGCTCATCACGTGTCACTTGTTGCTGCCCACGAACAAACGACGCGACAGCGGCGAAGATGTTGCGGTATGGCGTATTGCTGTGCGGTGCCACCGAAGCTGTGCTTACTCATGATGAGGATGTGTCTCTCTCGTAACCGGTAACCTCTCGAAAGTTGACATGTTGACGGAAGATACTGATCATGTGTACGGCATCGGCAGTT